CTTCCTCTGCTGCTTTTTGCAGGGTATCGGTAGGAGTTTGATTGCAATCGGAGCAGCTGGGATTCGAGTATGCACCAATACGGAATGCTGACATCACAGACGATGGTTTTTAGCTGCTATACCACAATGCCAGACCCACTGAAAACTTAAAATCAGAATGATGGCATTGACAAACACTGGGTTACTATAGCAGTACATATGGCACAACAGATGGCTCACATGGCATTGATATTACTGCCAAAGCTCGTCTGCCTAGCGACCAGTCAGTAAACGTTACCAGTAAACATTGCCACATGAAAAAAAGTTTGAGTTATGAGAACTCAGTGCAAGAATGGCATCACACACAGTTTTACATGGAGGCATATTCTACAGCTTACAGACCCCAGAATCATGACCCTCAATAAACTGCTTTTGCTTTATTCAACGATCAAGAATTCTATCTAGATAATATTTACAACTGTGCTCTTACAAACACCATGAGGTCATCAGAATCATTGTACAAGCACACTAAGTAGAAGCACTACCAGTTGTACTGGTCATAGAAACGATCTCAATGTCGGGACTCTCACCTATGTTTGAAATATTGTCTATGAAGAGATGTAGAGCTTTCTCCGTGTTCTCTATTTTTGGTGCAATGCATGTTGAAATCCAGACAACTCCCATCAAATCTATAAGTGAATTTTTATTGGACAATCCTTCATGACATACTCTAAGTGTATTACTGCTTCAAAGTCCATCTTAGTTCAAGCCAGTCTTCTCTATCCTAGACCATTACAATAATCCAAACTGATCTTCAGTTCCAGTTCATCTTCTATGAGTTGTGCAAAAACCAGCACAGTGAGCCCTACGTCCCTACTTAGAGTCCTCTAACCGGCTCCTACCAACTTTATAAGAAAACCCCAAGTCCTCTCAAGGATTAACAGACCTATGTCAGCTGCAGATGCACTCTGCTCTCACCTATAGCCCTCTTTATAGCCATTTAGGGAGTGAACCATAGGATGGAAGAGCTCGTGCTGTCTCTGTCTCTCTCTTTCCTCTGCCTTTCAAATAATAAATATTTAGCACAAATCAATGAATATTAAGGGATTAAAAATGAAATATATTTCTTTGTAGCCAAATGGGCCCAACTGGAAACCAAAATGCTAAAGGAAGTGAACCAATCCCAAAAGGTCAGATAGCATATGTTTGCCTTAATATAATATGGTGTCAATTCCAAAAATTGTACCTGTGAATTATAACTTATCGCACTTGTCTGTACTACGTGCAATAAGATCTTGTGATGTAACCTATTAATTCATGAGACTGATCGCATATGATCACCTGAAATTGTTAATTATTATTACTACTATTCATGGGTAACAACGATTTAGTCTGTGCTAGAAAGCATTACTGAAGTCACTGTAAATTTCCATCATTGAATCTTTGGTTAAGCAGTCCATTCTAGAGATAAACTTCAATCAGGCAAGGGTCTGTTGGTCTTTCTTGCACTAACAGTTTCATCATACTCAAAAGGGTTAATGATTTATTGTCATTAGAGAACACATTTTCTCAAAGGGAAACTGAAAAGTGAGAATGTGAAAGGATGAAAGCAGCCATCCTTGCAGATTCTTGGCGTGCTTGTCAACTATTTTCACTTTAGAAATTGCCACAGGGAGAAAAATGTCAGGAATGTTTGTCTAATAAGTTGGAAATGTTAAGTGGAAAAAGCTATATGTAGACCAATAATTAGTGTGTCATCTAAAAATGATGCCTGCAGTGCTATCATTTGCCTGTGAGATGAATGGTCTTGCTCACCTCAATAAAGCCAACTGCATGGTAATTCAGGACTACCAGAATTCTGAGGAGTTCCTCACAGTGTTGGCGATCAAAGGGCTGTGCCTACCACCTGTCCAGTGTTGGTGATCAAAGGGCTGTGTCCACAACCTGTCCTGTACTTGGATGGCTCCAAGACAATTGTCATCTTGGCTACTCTGCCATGACAGTTGCATTTACAGCGGTTGAAGATCTCAAGTCATTTATGCACTTACTACTCAAAACTGTAATTGATCATCATTTACATGTCTTCTAAAACACCCTTTTTAATGAACCACGTAAGTCTCATTGGGATATACCCAGTATCTGGTATTCTGTAATAACGGCACAGAACTGATGCACACACATTTCTAGAATCCTGTCTGCCACCTCAAACCGTGGGGGGTATGGGAGGCCGCACCTCCACCAAGGCTTTATGTCTCTATAAATTTCTCTTAAAAACTCCTTTTAACTCCTATATATGTTCAGGGATCATACAGTCTTGTCTGCGATAATCCTCCCTCTGAATATTAATGAATTACACAAAATTACACAAGAAGTCAGTAAAAGTGAAGATAAGGGGATACTGTAGTGGGTAGATGGTGGACATCAGAAAAGAAATTTCTCAATTTAATATCTCATTGTGAAAAGTTATACAATCAGGACAGGCATTTGGAGCAGTGATTAAGATGTCATTTCAGATACGAGTTGAAGCAGCAACTATCAGAGAAGAAAGAAGTATAAAAATAATTTAAGTAAGTATCACACAATTTCCCACTGTGCTCCAAATTTCCAATCATGGGCTTGAAAATGACAGCAACTGTAAAGATGGAAACACTCCAGGTGTAACAGCAAAAACATCCCTGAAGTAAAGCAGCATCACAATGATAAAGGATTGTACACAGGTTTTCTTAAACAACCCGTTAGGCTGCAATCCTCATTGAATCTGAAAAAGTTTTTTTTTTTAAACCCGGAGAAGGAAATTAACTACAAAGAGAAATTTCTCCTGCTTATGTGCAACAGAAATTTAAATATCCTACAGATGGATTCCCTACTGGAGAACTGAAAGGTACAATTTACATATTTCTCCTAACTTTTTATAGCATAGAAGAGGAGACAGACAACTAAAAGGGTAATTAAAATACCATGTGATTAAAAAAAAATAATTCCAGAAATTTATCTAAATAAGAAAGGGAACACAAAAAAACCTCTTGAAGAAAAAATGGGAAGCATTCTCATCCACTTTATGGTAAGAAAAAAAAATGTGTAGTAAAAACCGTTTCCAAAGAAGAAACAAGGAATAAATCAGATAACATTAAGAATGAAAAATCTTCATTGTAAGACACAACAAAAAGAATGAAATGAGGCACAGAAACTGTATTCTAATAACATGTACAGAAAAAAAAAATCACTCCTACAAGTAATGCAAGAAAGGTACTCCAACAGACAACTTTGCAAGACACAAACTCATCCACAGAAGAGCTTTGCAAAAACATTTGTAAAGTACAACGAGGAAATGATAGCCACAGTGAACCACCACCACCACATGGCCATCAGAATAGGAAACTACTGATAACACTCCCTGTTGATAAGGACTGGAAATAATTAGGATCTATACGCAAGCCTAGAGAGGAAATTGGTTAGAAACTACTTTGGAAAATTTTTAATAATATCTGCTGAAGCCAAACATCTACCTATTTTGAATTCCAACATATGTACCCATGAAAAATGGAACTTTCACTGAAAGAAGGGGACAAAAGTTTCCACAGCACATTATGTGCAAAAAAATAAACTAAAAACATACATGTCCATCAATAGTAGAATAGATAAATAAACAGTGGTCTGCTCATACACAATACTACCAGTAACAAAAATAAAATGTCTGCTATGGACACAGCAGAAAAATATATCAGAAAAATCATACATAAAATTCTATATACTGCATGATTCCACATATATGAAGGTCTACAACAGGCAAAATTAAGTAAGACGACCACCTTAGACCTCAAAGAACTACACTGATTCCGAGGAAATAGAGTGGTTTGAGGAAGCTGCACCTGTCCCATCGTGGCCTGACAGGTGGTTATGTAGGCATACAGATTTCAGGATAAGTAAGCAGTGCCATTTCATCTGAGAATCTTCATGAATGGATATTACACTTACAGGAGATTTTAAAGGGTAACCCATCATGAGTGCTCCCCAAGAGTTCACGAAGGATCACATATGGGGAAGCCCAACATTGGTTTAGGTAACTGTAAGGATCTGCTTCACTAGGTGACTACACACAACCCAGAAGATGAGTAAGAGCATCCTCAATGCCAGTGAGAATGCTCCAGAACAAAAAAATGTGCATGTAAGAGAGACTTAGTACCTTCTAGGAAGGGTAACAAATTTTACACATAAAATCATACTGCTCCTGAATCAAAGATGAAACACAACTTTGCATTATGAGGGAAAAAAGAGCAATGAGGATGAAGCAGAGATAAGAAGATTCAGATTTTTAAAGGTGTCTTAAGCCTCATTAGGAAATTCAGACTTAGCCCTTGGGAACTAAAAAGGAGCCGTTTTCAGAGAAATGTGAGTCGTTTTGCACTTGCAACCACTGAATCTGCACTGAGTATTGAAAACAGAAGATGGGAGAAAGGCTGAAATCTCAATCAGGGAGACCAAAATAGAGGCTTTTAAAAATGGACATTTCCCAACAGTTCTTAGCAAACGATCGCGTATGTGCAAAGGAAAATGTCTGACATGACTTCCACCTCATTTTCTCAGGAAAGAACAATGGAGGAGGACAATCTTGGGGAGCAACACTGCTGCCCACGGGCCAGCCACAATGGATACTTCAGATGCCAACACCACAAGAGTCTAAATGTCTCGAATGGATTATTACTTTTCTACGTCTCTTAGCCTTTCATTTCCCATCAGCCACCTCATTTCAGGGGTTCAGTAGAGACTCACATGGTCATCCTTGCACATTCTCACTCCACACAGAAAACTGTCTCCACCTCTCATACTTGGGCACCTACTGAGACTCAGCAAAGTGTCTGATGCACAACAGGGCAGCATGGAGGTGAAACGCACCCCGCTTCCCTCCTTCCTGTAGGGTATCAAGGAAAGCTACTCTTCATGTTTCTTACGACAAGGTTTCCGTAGTTATCATGTTCACTCAGCATTGTTTCTTATTCCATGACTTACCTGGAGCTCTGTGAAGACCAGTCAAGAAGCCACACTCACTCATGTGCCGAAGCATTAAGGACCAGACATCTGTGAAGCAACTCTGAAAGAAAAGCCTTCAATGAGTCATGAGTCACCTCCATGAACTTCCCACAACCCTTGTTTTTTCTCAGTCTAGGCAACAAGTGACTGTCCTGGGCCTTAGCTGGTGGGGCTGATTTCCATGGCTCCCAAGGCCTGTTCCACTGATTTCTATAAGGGCCAGCTGTGTTCACACAGACAGATGGCATCATCATTTGTCCAACAGCATTGAAACAAACGCACTGACAGCTTCATCTCTGTCATGGACGCCCAAATGCAGACCCTGTCAAACAGTGGGGACATGTTGGCATCCCATGCTTAATGTCCCCACTAACCCACAGATACACAGTAGGGTGATGAATTCTGTGTCAGCTCATTTTATTTATCACCTCTAAGATGAACTGTTAAAGGACCACAATTGTCAAATTTCTCATATATCTGCCATGAACCAAAGAGTAAACAGAAGTCCACAACCAACTGACATTTGAGCATTTTCTTTCTGGAAGCTCGATAGCTGAAAGTTGTCATTCCTCTAATACAAAATCAAGTTTAAAACTAAACTAAATGTAAAACATACATTAAGAGCTAAATATCAGAATCATTGCAATGTTTGAGTATAGGGTGCTAAATGGAATAAGAGAAAAGATGTAATTACACATTAGCAGATCTAAAAACACTTAAAATAGGTCAAATCTGAAACCCTGAAATCTGATATTAAAATATATAATAAAAAAATGTTGAAATATGAGACTTTATATGAGCAGGTCCTCTAAAGCACAAAATTAAGGATTGTTATCAAAACCTATATTATGTTGATTTTCCTACCATTTTAATAGATCTACATGTGTGAGAGGGTTCATGAGATTCAGTCTTTTTAACTATATACAACCAATAAACCCATAGCAGAGTCAAAATTAGAAGCACTGAACCAATTTCATCTTAAAATCAGCAATTGGCGAGTTTCAGTGGAGGCTGTTAGAGGGCAAGACACAACACAAGCGGAGTCCCCAAGCAGCCAGCTATCAGAAGACAACTCACCCAAGGGAAAGCACGAAGTAGCTCAAGCTCTAACCCTTATATGAAGATGCCAAATCACAGACAGCATTCCCAGCAGGGTGTTTGAACAGTTCACGGATGGTGCATGTTGTATGCAAAAGTTAAGCCATAGCCGCCCCTTGAGTACAACACCTTAGAGTGTTGTGCTTACCTCTAGACTCTGTTCCAGATTCCTGCTCATTGGTACCAAGGGAAGCCCCAGGTGGTACCTGTCACCCACATAGGAGATCTTGTGCAGTTATGGGTCTGAATCTCTGGCTTCAGCCAGGTCCATGTCCAGCTGCTGCGGCCATTTGGAGATTCAATCTATAAATGGAAGTATTTTCTCTCTCCCTCTCCATGTGTATTTGTATGTGTGTGAGTGTGAGATAGTCTGACAGCTTTTTAAATACATAAATGTAAGGCTTTTGTTAAAGTTTACAGAGAAAGAATTAAATGATGCATTTCTTTTAGTGAAAAAGGAAATTGGAATCCATGCAACAAGGACTCTTAAAAATCCTCAAGACAAACATTACGGCACAGATTATTATGTACCCATTTTCGATGTCCACATTGCATATTGTAGGGCCAGTTCAAGTCCTAGCTACTCGATGTCCGATACTGTTTCCTGCTCAGGCACCCTGGCTCCTGTTACCCATTTGGGAGACCTGGATGGAATGCTGAGCTGTCAGCTTCAGCTTGTCCTAGCCCTGACTGCGGTGGGCATTTATGGAGTGAGCTCACAGATGCAAGTTTCTCACTCTCTTCACTTCCAATCGGTTAAAAACAAATGCACATTTTGAAAAGTTCATGATAATTCACACTATAAAAATTGTGCATGAAGATTTCAAACTTTTATAACAAATGTCTCCCTTAGTGTTCAAAGCTATCCTTTTAAATATAAATATTTCTACAAGCATTAATACAGCGGATTGCTAATGTAAATGAGCAGATTTCCTTCTTCCTCAACAGGCAGGAGAAGTGAATTACGACCCTTGCACACCAGTGGCGGGGTGGCAAAAATCCCTGTGGCAACCTCCAGTGAGTGATTCTGTGAAAGGGGAACTTGGATCTGAAAGAACAGCAATTCTGTGCCGACAAACTGGCTCTGGGCAGCCTTCTCCGGGGTGATAATAACCATAATCACCCTCATAATCATTAAAGCAGTTGATATTTATTGGGGACTTATTCTGCTCCAGACACTTAACCGAGAGGATGGTGCTGCCGAGGCCACAGGCAGGTCCCTTAGAGAAGCTTTCACTTTCAGCTGTGACCCCCCACTGGGGGTTCCTAAAGTTTCTAAGCAGGTATGTACACATGCCTATAGGGGTACACATACCCCTATAGAAAGGTAGACCAAATCTCCGCTCCATCAAATTGTCAGGACAAAATACATCATGGTGTGCATACTGGCATGAGTTTATGCTTCAAAATTCAGGTTCGCATGTAAAAAAAAAAAAAATCAGGCTGAACATACAAGCATGATTTCTGTTCTGGTGACCAAGTTTTTTTGAGCTTGGATCTCAGAGCAAGACTGTCTCAGACACCTCTCTGGCTTTATTTTCTTCAACTATAAAGGATACCAAGTGTCGTCATCAAAGTGTTATGGAAGCCTGCAAAGTGACTGTCATATGGTACCTGCAACATAAGGGCTGGCTCATTTATTTACATTATTATTATTATTATCCACAATGTTGGTGATGTCGGTCTCCGTAGAGCCCTGGCAGGGTTAGAGGCAGGGAGGGATAACAGGCACCAAAGTCTTGTAACAAGGCATTGCAGGAAAGGAGTATTGGTCATCTCCTCTGAGAAGCATACTAAAACATAGTTCAATATAATAGTGGTAAGAGGGGTGGGGCTGGCACAGTTGCACAGCAAGTTAATCCTCTACCTGCGGTGCTAACACTCCATATAGATGCATGTTCTTGTCCCAGCTTACCCACTTTCTGATCTAGGCCCCTGCTTTCTGTGGCCTGGGAAAGCAGGCAGGGGAAGGGGGAATTAGCTCAAGTCCTTGGGACTCTGCATCCATATGGGAGACCCAGAAGAAGCTCCTCACTCCTGGCTTCAGATGAACTCAGCTCCTCCCATTGCAGCCATTTGGGGAATGAGCCTGTGGATGGACGATTTTCTCTGTTGCTCCACCTCTGTGAATCTGCCTCTCAAATAAAATGTAGATTATCTTAAAAAGGCTTTAATGATCCAGTCAATAGAAGGTTAGATGAAGTTCTCATGGGACTGGATTAGTTATCACAAAATGTCAGAGGTTACACAAAGCAAAGCTGTCCTTTTTTCTGTTTTCTGAACCTGCCAGCTAACCCTTCCACTGTGCTACCACATCAAGACAAGGCAAAGGGCGCTCACCAAATTCAGCAGCCTGATCTAGAGTTTCCAGCATCTACAACCATGGGCCAAATAAGAGCCTTCCTTACTAACCACCCAGTCCATTAGAGCAATAGAAAACAGAGTCAGCCTTGGGCAGGGAGGTTTTTCAAACAGCCTCCCATTCTAGGAGCCACATGGGATCCAGGAACCCTTGTGACAGGTGGTTCACAAGCCCATCTTCTTCCCACATGTACAGTCTGGCCACTTTCTCTCCTAGGCCTCACAAAAGCTTTTCTAGAGGTTTAACCATAGACCTGCCTCACTCTTTTTCCCTCTCAGAAAAGATCATGCTTTTCCAGTCTAAAGATGGGAGCAAATATCAGATCATCTGTCTTTTTCCAGTTTGCAAATGTTCAATTTCCCTTAATAGTGTGGAGTTTGAAAACAAACACCTGGGTGATCCGAAGGTCATTTCTGCTTGCATGGCCTTGCCTTGGGGGCAGTACTGGAAGGAAATGAGAAAATGTGGAGAAAAAGAAGAGTATATCCATGTATTCCCTACATTCATGAGAGCATGTCTCTCAAGCATGTCGCTGGAAGCACCTGTAACTTGTTTTTTTTTTTTTAAAGATTTATTTTTATTATTTTTTCATTGGAAAGGTGGATGTACAGAGAGGAGAGACAGAGAGGAAGATCTTCCGTCCGATGATTCACTCCCCAAGTGAGCGCAACGGGCCGATACTATGCCGATCCAAAGCCAGGAGCCTCTTCCGGGTCTCCCACGCGGGTGCAGGTTCCCAAAGCTTTGGGCTGTCCTCGACTGCTTTCCCAGGCCACAGGCAGGGAGCTGGAAGGGAAGCGGGGCTGCCGGGATTAGAACCGGCGCCCATATGGGATCCCGGGCGTGCAAGGCGAGGACCTTTAACCACTTGCGCCACCGCGCCGGGCCCAGCACCTGTAACTTGTAATCAGCCAGGTTCGCGTCATCACACCTGAGGGTTTCCAAGCACCTCCCCCCACCACTGCTGCACTTCCATGCTGTATCCAAGCAGTGGCCCCTGCAGGGGGTCCAGCAAAGGAAAGCAGACATTGCTAGGTAGCAAGTGCTGAGTGGACAATGCCTCTTGTTTCCAATTCTGCTAAACGTTCACAGGTCAGGGACTCTCACCCAGTCTTGCTTCCAACCTTCCTCCCAACTACACACATAAGGAATAGACAATGACAACTTTTACTGCTGGACTCCAGGCAGGTGTGGGTGGTGCTGCTGCTTCTAATGGTAAATGCCAAGAAACCATTCTTTGCATCAGTCAAGAAGTGGCGTTCAAGCGACCCTATCGCCCTGTGATTTATTTCCTTTAAGATACCTCCATCGAGGTTCTGATGGAGGAGCCTGGGCAACTCCTCTGGCAGGACACAGACCCGACAGGTCAGCGCAAGAAACATGATAGGAAACAGCCCAGAAAAGGCCATGGAAAGCTACCCACTGGCATACACTTGGCAGACGTGGGGGCAAGACCAGGCTGAATCCACGTCATCCACTGGCAAATCCAGGCACCAGTGTGGGTTGACCCAGGTTCGGTCGCAACAAAGACTAGTGCACAATATGGAATGCCGAGGTGAGGTTGCCTGTACCAGAGGGGACCGCAGCGTCCAACCAGCCTG